AGATAGGAAAACTCTTCTGAGTGACAGAAAATTCCAGGTAATAGTAGCTTATATAAGAGTTTATTTCTCTAACAAATAAAAGTGTGGGAAGGGCTTCCCTGGTGGCGCGGTGGTTGGGGGTCCACCCGCCGATGCAGGGGACACGGGTTCGTGCCCCGGTCTGGGAGGATCCCACATGCCGTGGAGGGGCTGGGCCCGTGAGCCATGGCCGCTGAGCCTGCACATCTAGAGCCTGTGCTCCGCAACGGGAGAGGCCGCAGCAGTGAGAGGCCCGCGTACTGCAAAAAAAAAAAAAAAAGTGTGGGAAACTATCCCAGGCTGGTGTTTCCATGGTCATCTGGGATCTAGATTCCTTCAACTTTTTTGCTCCCCCATCCTAACATGCTTCCAGCTCACGGTCCAAGACTACTGCTCCAGCTCCAGCCATCAGGTCTGCATCCTGGCAGCAGGAATGACAAAAGGGGAGAAGGAGGGCATATCCCCTTCCTTTAAGAACACTTAATACATTTTGCCCACACCTTCTCCTCTGATGATGACTAATGGCTCATTGCCTACTTGTTCATACATAACTGCAAGGGAGGCTGGGAAATGGAATCCTTATTCTGATTGCACTGTGCTAGCTATCGGTCAACAAGTCTATCCCAGTAGAAGGAAAGGAGAGCGTATAGTGGGGGAAACCAGCAGAATATGTTGCTCCAACTTCATGTAGACTCATATACTTTTCTGCCCTCATTCTAAGCAATACTATCCATGATATCTTTAGTTTCCTGAGCTAGTTATCTACTTTTCTAAAACACATTAGAATAAAACAAATACCTAGCCATTAAAATGAATACATATACATATGGGGGGGGTGTATATAGATACAGGATAGATGGTGGGAGACTGTTACTGCCTCCAGTGATCCAGGCCTCTCAGTATTCATACACTTATGTAGACCCCTCCCCTCGACTCTGGGCTGGCCTGTGACATTCACTAAAGCAATAGAATGCAGCAGAAGTGACATTGTGACTGTTCCCTCAGCTTTAGGAAGCTCCAACAGCTTCTGCTTTTGTACTCTGGGAAAGTTGAGTGCCATAAAAACTCTGACTACCTTGAGACCACCATTGTATAAGGAAGCCCACGCTAGCCACCTGGAGAGTGTGGTAGATAATAGAAGAACCCACAGCCAGTTCCCAGCTGTTTGTATCACCCTAGCTGACACCATGTAGAGAAGAATTGAGCTGTCCCCACCAAATCCAGCCCAAACTGCAAAACTGAGCAAATAAATAATTTTCTTTTAAGCTGATAAATTTTGGGGTGCAGCCATAGATACCCAAACACATTTATCTATATAACACCAAGAAATCATGTCATGTACCATACCCTTTGGAAAATTCTGGATTAAGTGATATTCTAATATTCTACAAGAACATTCTCTCACAGACCCACACGTCTCATAGACACATAACTGCAGTGAATTGATTGAGGACTTATCACATGCCAACATGACCACAATAACCTCCTGATGGTCTCTGCTTTCTCTCTTGTCCCCTTGCACCTGGGAGCAGCCAGAGAGAGAATGTTTTCAAAATGCAAATCTGATCACGTCATTCTCCTGCTTATCACCCACTGCAATGTCCACAAGGAGTCTTCTTAGGTTCAACTACACACTCAGACTCAACAGATGACCACAAGCCGTACTTGGCATTGACATACTCTGATGGATGTAAGACAGGAACCTCAGCTTGCTAGAATGGCACTCAATGTCAGCACCAGCACTCAACTCTCCCTCTCAGCGGGGGAGTCCTTGCTGCATGTGTGCCAGAGCAGTACAGCACAGGTTCAAGGAAATGAATCCCCAGCTGGTGGGTGCAGGAGTCATCGTGGCTTAAAAGCTTCATGTCCCCTGGGAGCCGATACCTTTGTACCTGCCCAATTACAGGAGTCATCATGCTCATGAAGCCCAAAATATGATTTCCCACCAGGTATTTATAGTTCCTCTCATCCCAGATGTAATTTACCAATCAGGGGTCTTTAAGAAAAAAAAAACCCTTTAGTTTTTAGAACAGTTTTAGATTTAGAGAAAAATTGGGAAGAAAGCACAAAGAGTTCCCATATACCCATACCCAATTTCTTCTATTATTAACACCTTATATTAGTATGATAAATTTGTTATAATTAATGAACCAATATTGATCCATTATTATTAGCTAAAGTCCACACTTTGTTCAGATTTCCTTAATATTTACCTAATGTCCTTTTTTCCTATTCCAGGATCTCATCCAGGACACCATAGTACATTTAGCTGTCATGCATCTTTCAGGCTCCTCTTGGCTGTGACAGTTTCTCAGACTTTCCTTGTTTCGACAGTTCTGAGGTCAGGTATTTTGTAAAATGTCCCTCAGTTGGGACTTGTGTGATGTTTATCTCCTGGTTAGACTGGGGTTATGGGTTTTGTGAGAGAGATCACAGAGGTAAAGTGCCATTCCCATCACACCATATCAAGGATACATACTATTAACATAATTTGACTGTTGATGTTGACTTTGATCCCCTGGCTGAGGTAATCAGGTTTGTCAGTTTCTCCAGTATAAAATTATCTCCACCCCACTCCCATACTGTACTCTCTGAAAGGCACTATGCTCCGCCCACACTTAAGAATTGGGGAGTTATGCACAAATAATAGAGAATAAACTAGTGGTTACCAGTGGGGAGAGGAGAGGGACGACACAGAGGTGGAGGGGTGGGAGGTACAGACTATTGTGTGTAAGATAGGCTACAAGACTGTATTGTACAACCCGGGGGAATATAGCCAATATTTTATAATAACTGTAAATGGAATGTAACATTTAAAAATTGTATAAAAAATCTCTACACAGGAGTCTAAAGAAAAAAAAGAATTGGGGCGTTATGTTGCTTCCCTGAGGATGGAGTATTTGGAATTCTGCATCAGAGATTTCTCTTTCCCCCCCATTTTTTCATTTATCATATTTTAGGTTACAATCCAATATTTTTTTTTTGATCAAATTTTTCTAACTTTGGCTATTAGGAGCTCTTTTAGTCAGCCCCTATGTCCTTTGACATACCCCCATCATTGTGTGTGTGCGTGTGTGTGTGTGTGTGCGTGTGGTTTGTTCCTTTCTTACTTTCTGGCACTATCAGATACTCCAGGCTCGTCTTGTACATTTCCTGCTCCAGTCCTAGAATCAGCCATTTCTCCCTGGTTCCTTTTATTGGAGAGTGGTATTAGAAACCAAGATATGGGAACCAGGTGCGCTTGTTGCTATGCAGTGTCATGCAGCTAGGTCCTCGCAGCCGACAGAGAAAGGAAATACAGTGTATACTGACTTGTGTGTATATACATTTATAGTTATCTACCACATGTATCATAAATACGTACTCATCTTCATCAATATTATGCTAAACATGAGTTCATACTGATATCTCCAATTCTACTCCATTACCACATGGATCATTCTAGGCTCCTCCTTGGGGTCATTTTTATCATAGCAATGTTGCCTAGTAACAGAGTGATATATGTTTATCTGTTTCCAAGGAAACAGAGCTAGACAGTTAACCAAAGGTCAAATTCTCATGCAGAAGAGGAAAAGTTTGTTAACTCTTTACTCACACTGATCGATGACTCCCCACTGCTCTGGGGATAAAGAACCAACTGCTTAGCTTACAAGGATTCTCAGTGACCTGGCTCACTGACAGTCCAGCCTTATCTCCAACGTTCCTTATTGAGCCCTTCAGGGCAAACACCCTGGTCTCCGTCAAGCCTCACACTCACCATACTCTCTTCTACCCCAGGGCCCTTGCACATGCCAGTCCCTCTGCTGGGCCTCTCTTCCTGCTGTCTTTACCTAGTTGCCTCCTATTCAGCCTTTCAATCTCGGCTCAGTCCTCACTTCTGCAGGGGAGCCAGGAGCCATCCCCATCTCCCTGACTAGGTCAGCACCTTGCTGAAAGCTTGAACAGCACTATGTACCTTTGCTCTGTGGCAGTGTTACATTTACTTATCCTTTTCTCCCACTGGAATACAAACTTCTAGAGGGTAGGGATGAAGTCTACCTCATTAATCAGTATATAATAGGAACTCAATAAATATTTGCTCATTTTCTCTATTCTTTATTCGATAAATATTTATCAAGGGCCTCCTATGTGTTGGCTCCTTTTCTAGTGTCTGGGGATACAGGAGGGAGGGAAACAGGCAAAGCTTCTGCCTCTTGACACATATTTTAGTGGTGGTGACAATAAAGAAAGAAATAAGCAACTGTCAGGAGTTGATAAATGCTATGGAGAGAAATTCAGAGTTAAGGAGCAAAGGGTGCTGGGGCACTGCTAGTTTTAAAAGGATGATGTAGGAAGGTGTCTCTGAGAAGGTGACATTTGAGCAAAGACGTGAAGGAAGTGAGGGCGAGCTCTGGGGGTCTCAGGAAGAAGCGTGTCCCAGGCAGAAGGAACAGCAAAGGCAGAGGCTCTGAGGCAGGGCTGAGGGAGGGAACTGTGCACGCTTTACAGGGAGTATCGCATATAATCCCTATAACCCTTACTAAGTCCATTAAACAGATGAGGAAACTGAGCTCTGAGAGGGGACAAGGCCACACACCCATGAATGGTGGAGCTGGGATTCTCTCGGGAGTCTGGTGCCACAGCCAGCTCCTTTTGAGGTCCCTAACAATAGGCCAGGCTTCTGGAAGGCAGGAAGAGACTGAAGCCTTCCCATCCCTGGAGGTCCTGCCCTGGTCTCTGTCACACTGGCCTCAAAGGCCTGGGCACCTGGCCTCCAGGGTGGCCTCCACTGTCCTCCTTGTCAAGGATGGCACAGGCCTTTGGAGCAGGACATGTCAGGTTCTCACATGAGGTGGCTGAGGAGCCAGGACAGGGCATCCCCATCTGCCTGTCCTTCCAGATGGCTGACCTCTGCTGACCCTCCCAAAGCTCCTGGAGTCTGCATTTTCATGATTCCATTGGCAGAGGCGAGCACTGAGGCTCAGAGAGGCGGGAGGACTTACCAGAGTGAGCTGGCCACGGAGACTTCCAGAAACCCCATGATCTTCACACGGACCTCCTCTCTGGGCTTCGCCTGGGCCCCCAAAGAGGGAGAGTCTCCTTAACTTTTGTGCTCTAGGCATCTCACTGACTCACCTTAATCTGAGCCCTTTAACGGAGAGAAATAGTGGAATCTGCCCTACTCACCACCTGCTCACCCAAACCCACCGCTGGGCTCTGGGGGGGACCAGACAGGGGCCCTGTTCTCCAGGAGGTGCCAGTCTGATGAGGGATGCTGGCACTTACTGAAAATCACAATTCTCAGAAATAAGGACAATAACGCAGGCAAAGAGCGCAGCTGTAGGGGCCCCTGGGGCGAGGGAGTGTGTGGGGCATCGAGCTAGGCTTCCCAGGGGAGGGGGCACTACAGCTGGGCCTTGGAGGAAGAAGGGGTGTGTGGCCATTGGTAATCCTCCAAGATAACACCCGTCTTGGGCTGTGTACCTCAGTGGACCACAAAAAAAGAAGAGCAGGGGAAAAGGAGGAGTGCGCGCGCGCGCGCGCGCGCGCGTGTGTTTGGGGGTGAGGGGTGGTCTTCAGAGGCTTCCTTTCAGCCTTCAGGTGGCGCCCTTGAGCCACGGAGCCACAAACGCCAGAGAAGACTATCCCGACCTAAGGACCTCGGAGAGAACCCTGGGTCCAACCTGAGGGCTGTGTGTGTGGGAGGGGGTGAGGAGCGGAGGAAGAGTGGGGGCTTGGCGCAGTAGGGGCTCCCCAGCCGAGGGGCGAGGCCGGCGGCCGAGGGAGGGGTCTCTTTCAGCACTCACCCCCGCGCCTCGCCGCTGCGCCCAGGCACCACGGGATGAAGGCTTCAGTTCCCTAAGCCCAGGTGCTGGCGAAACGGATCTGCCCCAAGGGGTGGGGAGGGCAGGAGGATGGATCCGTGTCCCCCCACTCTCACCCTAGTCCGTTACCCTCCTCCCAGTACCTCCCCGCGCTAACTCTCCCGGCGCCCTCGCCGGCCGCGGGCGGAGCCCGATCCGCTGCGCTCGGCGATCCCCGGCTCTCGCCCCTTCTCCGTCCTCCCTCCCCGGAGCTCTCAGAGGCCGTGGCCGCCTCGGTACAGCCCCGCGCGGAGCGAGCAGGTAAGTGCGCCGCGGCAGCGTCTCCGGGCCGGGCCGGGCCCGGCCCGGCCGGGAAGGGGGCGGGAGCCGGGGAGGGCGAGGAGGAGGCGGCGGCCGGGCCCGCTCTCTCCCGGGCTGCGCCGCAGCACAGACACCGGCGGGCGGGCACCGGCTGCGGGGAGGCGCACTGGGAGGACGCGCCCTCGCCGTTGCCCGGCGCCCTCGCCTCCCGCGTGGGGAGGCAGTGAGGGAGGCCCGGCACAGGTACGCACGCGAAAAGGGGACTGCGAGGGGCGGCGGGAGACCGAGGGCCCGAGGCGGCGAGGGGCGGCCAAGGAGAGCTAGCCTGACCTCGCGGCCCGGCCGAAGGACACGAGGCGAGGGGACCCGGACGCACGCCTGTCCTCGCAGATCCTGGCCTTCGTGGGCCGCCTGGCCGCCTGGCTACCGGCGCCGCTCTGCCCGGTCCGGCCTGGCCCGGCCCAGCGGCGTTTGTGGTCAAGGGCAGGAGCAGGGGGTGTGAGCTGCGGGCTGGCGGGCGCGCGGGTGCGGCGGGCAGTCGGGGTGCTGGGGCTTTCTGAGCGGAACTTTGGGTATAACAGCGTGGACATATCTGAGCGCCCGAGGCTTTGTGTACAACTCGTGCGTGTGTCTATCGATTGGGTTTTGTGAAGCTTACCCACTCCCGCTGTGCGTCTGTCTCCCCGCGTGTTAGTGCACACCAGTGGGTGGGGTGCTGGGCCTGGGGGGATCTTGGTGGATCTTAGCAGTCCTGAGGGTAGTAAACTCTGTGTGTGTGTGTGTGTGTGTGTGTGTGTAACCAGCTCTGTCCCTTGCTGGGGTGTGGGTACCAATGTGGTCTATGGATCTGTGGCTCACACTGCGTGGCTTCCCATGTCTGTGAATGTTGCATGTGGAAAAGGCCCCTGGGGGTATAAGTGTGGAACTGAGGTGTGCTTTTCAGCTCCTGTTGGACTGCAGATGAAACTTGAGTGTTACTGGTACAGTTGTGGGGTGTGAGCAGTGGACACCAGCATCATTGTCAGCTTGTCTGTTTCTGCTTATGTTTTGGATAATTTACTGGGCATGCCCTTGTAAGTGGTGGGCATCTCTGAACCTGTGTGTCAGATACATAGCAACTCTAGGTAATAGGGAATCTCCTTTTCCTCCACCCTCTTCCTAACTCTGCTGGCATCCTAAGGAAAAAGTTTTGGGTTCCTGCCAAGTGAAAGAGCCCTGCTCCAAGAATTTGGGTGTCCTGGGTTTTTTCTGGGATATGGAAGCATCAATGTGTTGGTCTGGGAAGGGGGTTCCTGGGCCACTCCAGGGGCTGAGTTCTGTGGAGGATGCTTAAGACATGGGTGGGGGACCACATCTGGACACCAACTGGGCAGGAGTGGTCACTGCCAGTCCCTGTTACTGGCTGGGCACTCAGGAAAATGCTTTTGGTGCCAAAAGTAAAAAAAGCCAATGAACACACCTCTCCTCTTGGTTTACTGGAAAGTGGGAGCAGTCTGGGCAGAGCCTGGCCCTGAGTAGGCACTCCCCACCCTGTGTTTGGGAAGGATTGTCTGCCTGGGCAGGTTGCCAAACCATTCCTGAGGGCTGGCTGTGTTCCAAGCCCTGTGCAGGGGGCTGCGGACCCAGACATATCCCTGCCCTCAAGCTGCTCGTGGTTGATGTTAAACAGTGGGATAAAGTACAGAATCTACAAATGAGGCCTGGAAGACCAGGGAAGGAAGGCAGAATGATGCCACTGGTACAAGAGTGTGTGGGTTTGCAGGCTTTTAAGTGATAACAATTCTTGGGGAACCTGCTTTCAACTCCTGGCCCCCACATGCATGCCATGGGATCTTGGCCACATTTTGTAAAATGGAGATAGTAATAACTGCTCGTGGGGCTCGTGGGGGTTATACACAATACTTCTGAGTGAAGTGCCTGCAGTAGGGCCCAGCAGGGAGTGTAGGTGCTCAGTAAACATTTATTAAATTGGAACTCAGGAAAAAGGGACATGGTCATAGAGATGGGTTGTAAGTGGAAACAGGCTTTGTACTCAGATGAAAGGCCCTGTGTGTGCTAAGAGGAGGTGTCTGATGCAGGCCCATGTTGGAAGGAAGATCAGAAAGATGAGCCTTCCTGCCCTGAGGCTCTTTAAATTTCATTCATTCCATTCATTTTCACTTCATTCATTTGCTTATATCCTCTCTCTCTCTCCCTCTCTCTCTCTCTCCCTCTCTCTCTCACACACACACACACACACACACACACACACACACACACACACACTGAAGCACAGAGAACTGGAGAATAAATTCAGGCACACAAATGCAGAGAAAGGTCTAGAATTCTGTGTACGTGTGTGTAGACACACTAGGGCATACGAGCCACTCTGCACCTGGGGGTCTCTGTGCAGTGTGGGGACTTGGGTCTGTGGTGTATGTACCCACAGTACATCAGTGTGCAGGGGGAACGGGCTAGTTCTGCTGTGGGATCAGGAGTTCTACATGCCAGGTGGGGCCTGTCAGGGGAGCACCAGATCTGCCTGAGGGAGGACTCCATCATCAGCTCCAGCTGAGTGTGGCTGTGAGGGAATGGGGGCTAGGGTGGTCAGATTCTTTCCTTTTGCAAGAGAAGCCAGGCATCCAAGGTTTAAAGTGTAAAATGTTCACTGCAGCACTATGTACAATAGCCAGGACATGGGACCAACCTAAATGTCCATCGACAGATGAATGGATAAAGAAGATTTGGCACATATATACGATGGAATATTACTCAGCCATAAAAAGAAATGAAATTGAGTTATTTGTAGTGAGGTGCATGGACCTAGAGTCTGTCATACAGAGTGAAGTAAGTCAGAAAGGGAAAAACAAATACTGTATGCTAACGCATATATATGGAATCTAAAAAAAGAAAAAGGGGGGTGGGCTTTCCTGGTGGCGCAGTGGTTAAGAATCCGCCTGCCAATGGAGGGGACACGGGTTCGAGCCCTGGTCCAGGAAGATCCCACATGCCGCGGAGCAACTAAGCCCGTGCGCCACAACTACTGAGCCTGTACTCTAGAGCCCGTGCTCTGCAACAAGAGACGCCACCGCAATGAGCAGCCCGCGCACCACAACAAAGAGTAGCCCCTGCTCACTGCAACTAGAGAAAGCCCACACACAGCAGTGAAGTCTCAACGCAGCCAAAAATAAATAAATTTATAAAAAAAAAAAGGGGGGGTACTGATGAACCTAGTTGCAGGGCAGGAATAAAGAGGTAGACATAGAGAATGGACTTGAGGACATGGGGTGGGAGGGCGAAGCTGGGGCGAAGTGAGAGTAGCATCGACATACATACACTAAATGTAAAATAGTTGGCTGGTGGGAAGCAGCCGCATAGCACAGGGAGATCAGTTCGGTGCTTTGCGATGACCTACAGGGGTAGCATAGGGAGGATGGGAGGGAGGCTCAAGAGGGAGGGGATATGGGGCATGTGTATGCATATGGCTGATTCGCTTTGTTGTGCAACAGAAACTAACACAGTATAGTAAAGCAATTATACTCCAATAAAGATCTATTTAAAAAAATAAATAAATAAATAAAGTGTAAAATCTTTTGCTTTTTATATATTGGCAACTGCTTCACCAAAAACCAGATGAACAGACCAGAAACAAAAAAAAGCAGAACTTCTATGAGCCAAATATGGCCCATGGGCTGTAAGCTGGTATCCTTTGGCACATGTGCTGTCTGTCTGTGTGGGTGTGTATTCAGGTACTTGGGTAGGGCGTCTCCTCTTTGAGCAGAGAGTACCCCCTTACCCGCTCCTCTCCCAGCTCCCCTTCTGTGGTCTGCATCCAGGTCCTCCCATCTTCTATTTACATAAAGGCATTTGGCCTTGACCTCAGTCATGGCTCTCAGGTATGCTCCTTTCTCTTTGCCCTCTCAGCTTCCATGTCTCCCCTGACCACACTGGGTTCCTCCCTGGACCCCTGGCCTCCACTCTCCTCCTTCCCCATCCTGTCTGTCCTCCATGCAGCAGCCAGAGAGAGCTTTCCAAAACCTAGGCGGTGTTAGCCCTCCCATCCCCAACGCCTCGCCTCCCTGGCTCCTTGGCCTGGTTTTCAGAGTCCTTAGTGAGCTGGTCCCAGCTGACCTCAAGGCACCCCTTCTCCCTCTCCAAAATGCCCTTGTCCCCTCTCAGTGCTGGGGGATTTCCCACTCATCCTCTGAGGTTTGGCTCAAATGCCACCAACTCCTAGAAGCTTCCCTAACTTTCTCCTTTTGTTCTTACGACCACCTTCATCTCTACCCCTTCCCCTGCCCCCAGTCATTCTCACTTCATCACAACAGTGTCCATTAATTGAACTGGCAGGGGCCTTAAATGCCTTATTTTATGAAATCCTCACATCATCCCTATAAGGGAGACATTTGGCTTATTCACATTTAACAGATGAGAAAATTGAGTCTAGAAAGGTCACCTCACTTGCCAAAGCTCAAATGGTGACACTGGGATTAGAACCTATCTACTGTATTTAAATTTCCTCCATCATAATAGCTCATTGCTGATACTTACTGAGTCCTTACTATTCTGAGCACTTTATATGGATTAACTCAATCCCTATATCAGCCCTGTTAAATATGGAGTGGTAGTATTACTGTCATTTAATATAGAGGGAAACAGGCCCAGAGACGATACGGGAATTGCCCAAAGCCACATGCCCGCCAGTGGTGAAGCAGGATCCTAGCGCGGATTGGGTCTCACTGCTCTGTCATTATCTTATCCCCTGCCTCCCCCTCTGGCTGGCGGGCTCCCCCT